ACAAAGACATAATGACAGGAGGAAGCTACCCAAAAAGAAGTTGAGTTCATGAGTAGGCCAAATTTGGAAAGAAACAGAATATGAGATAAATTGCAACGGTTTTTAAAAAGGTGGCATTCATACCCCTTCGACTCTAACGTAGTCACCAAAGATAAATATGATCCTGCAGCGTACAAGATGGATGATGGGATAGGACGATAGAACCAACAACGTAATCTTTATCAGGCCTTGAATAACAATCAAAGTCACTCTCCACAGCCAGATCCCTCTGTTATTGGCGACGGTTAAGCAATCAAATCCTACTGATAAGGTGAAAAAACGAAGGGTGAATATAAAGGTGCGGAGGTTATAACAACTAATGCAGTTCAAAGTTTCCTGGAAGGGAAAAAAAGTCAAAATTTTGAAGAGGAGGGAAATCGTAAGAAAAATGGACAAGCTCAATTGAAAATATTGTATTATTTGATGACAGTGACGACGATATACAAGAGGAAATCAGAAAGGTAGAAGAACTTATTGATGACTGGTGTTAATGACTTTATTAGGAAGAAAATCAAATAAATGCTTTGTTGGTCAAGTCATTATTTCGGCAAAGATAGGAAAAGAGGAATTGGAATACCCCACTTCCCCCCAAGAAAATGATTTTATGATTCATAAAAATAAGAAGACTTTCTGACGTGCTGTCCAAAGTAAGCCAAATAATTTGAGAAGAAGAAGATTTTGAAGTAACACAACATAACCACACATACATAAACATAACCAATGATTTTGTTTACATAACTTTCAGGATTTTGTAGAAAAGATGGCTTTATTCAGATTCTTGTGGCTACGCAGATTGATAAGGAACAACACAAAACCTATCCCAGAATCTAGGGCAGCAGTTTGGAAATCTAGACTCTCAATAGCATATGCTTTGATAGCTTGGAATGCCTTCGGTCTAGTGGGTTACATGGCATATACTGGAAAAGGTGACTGGGCTCAGTATTATGGTTTGAAATCTGAAGAGGAGTTGAAGATGAGCCCAGGGCATCGATGGGCAAAATTCTTAGGAATTGAAAATGTTTCAGTTTATAGGGTTAAGGGATTCAGCATACAAAAAATTGAAGAGGAATCTAGTGAAATAGCCAGTGAGACTTCTTCAGACTGACTTTCCAATCTAGATGAGATTTGGATGATTCATAAAGACTCATGTACATACAAATACTTAAATAAATCTTATAGGATATTAGAATAACATGAAAATAGTGAAAATTAGCCAGATTAACTAGTGTTTGGTCATTTTATGAAGCCCCTTGAATCAATACTTCAAATTGGTGTGAATTCAAGGAGAATAATTATGGAATCAAAATCGAAAATCGTCAGAAAATACATTATTTGGAGATTTTGAGATGTTTTTTTTCTGGTGCTGATCAAAACTTCATAAATATCTGTGCTTTCTATATTCATATTCAGATATTTTGCTATATCATAGGATTATACCTATAGGTATCATTGGAATTTATTTGAGTCACTTTTGAAAACAAATGAAATGTGAAAGTGAATGGAAAAAAATGAGATGGTAGGTTTGACAAAATCACCCACCCCAGGAGAAATTGCAATAGTTAATAGAGATCAATTTTTCATTGTATGAGTTTATTTTGAATATTGTAATATGATTTTGTACATAAATTAGGAAGACATATAACTAAGTTACATATTGAACAATCACAGAGGTATGATAAAACCTACATTGAAAAAACATCAGCAAAATAAGGATTGGAAAGGTATACATGGTCAAATATCTCAAAAACAAATTATCTATTTCAAGTATCATCTGTTCCAATTTGCCAATCACAGTTGTATAATATAGGGTGGCATTACTAATTTGAAATATTTTAACCTCGATTTTAACTATAGGATCCTAAGCTGGAAATATGAAGTTTTAACCCAAACTAAAACCTAGACAAAATGTGTCTCCTCCCTATTACAATTACAAATTACCCATATATGTTTCACCCTACTAAATTATGTGAAACATATCTGGCTACTACCAGAGAGGCTTACAACAGAGGCAAGTGACTGGTTGATCCTTCCAACTGGTGAAGTTTTCATTTCATTATAATTTTTCCATTCTTCAATACTTTCAATGTAAGTATACTATACTCTTTCTTCATAGGAATGAAGTCCTTATTTATTGATTTCAAGTTGAACATGAAGCTGCACAATTAGTTTGATTTTGATGTGTATTAATTATGTGGATGTTTTGGATCATTGTATTGCATTTATCAATCAAATGAAACTTCAATCCATATTAGCAAATAAACATAATAACATATAACAGACAGGATCCATTACAGAGTGTTTTATTCTGGGTTTTATTATTTATTATCAAAAATGTTTATTTTACATAATCAAGTTGGGTGTATAGTATCTACATTTGCTGCCACAGATGACCATGATTTGTCAATCAGTTCCCTATCAGCCCTAGGAACGCACGATGTTCTTTGAACATTATAGGGATTCCCTTTCGTGCGCTCCAAGCGATAAAAAAAATTACTAGACATGAATATTTTTGGAATAAAACACCCTGTAGCTCCGATAGGAGACCAATTTTATCTAGGTGATTTGTATTGAATCTTCATATTTTGAGCTCAGGATTTTATAGCTGAAATATTTTCAGTTAGTAATGAAACACCCTATATGTGACTATACAGGGTGTCTGTAAAAGGTTGGGACATGGCTCGGCTGTGGACTCCTGGGATAAAAACAAGTTGATTCAGGCCAACTTACCTATCCAGAATCGTCTCGTTGAGGTTCAAGGCATTGAAGTTTTTTTGGAAAAAAATAGTTTTGCTCATAGGCTGAAATCGATTTTCATAATTTTTGGCATGGCATGTTCTGTGACTATAAGTCACGCTTTGAGATGTTTTTGATCATCATCAATGAACTGCAAGTGTTTCAAACAACCATGTTGCCGTACAAATTTGGTAATAACTTTTCAGAGGTCAGACTGGAAACTTCCAGTTTTTTTCCAGAAAGATATTCCCTTCAGAAATATTTTTTGTATCATGTTAATTTTTGATAAGTCTGGATAGGTTCATTTGCAAATAAATAATTTTTGATCTGATGCATCCTGCGCATATTTGAAAATTAATCTAATTAGTCGGACTGTTTATTGATCATGGCTACAATGTATTCTTATTGTGAATAAACTGATATGTTATTGCTGGTCCTCGCTGGCTTCACAAGAACTCTCTCGCGTTACAAATTCAATGATAATTATTCAGGACCTAAGGTGTAAACGCCATGTACCAACTCAACGAAACGATTTTGGATGTATAAGGTGGCTGAAATCGACTTATTTTTATTCCAGGAGTCTTCAGTCAAGCCATCATATCCCAACCAGATTATTTTTTTTCAATGCATGATGCCTTTCTTATTGAAAAAACACTGGAAGTTTCGATCCAGTCTGACCTCTGAAAAGTCATGACCAAATTTGTACGGCAACATGGTTGTTTGAAACACTTGCAGGTCACTCTGATGATGATCAAAAACATCTCAAAACGTGACTCACAGTCACAGAACATGCCATGCCAAAAATTATGATAATCGATCTCAGCCTATACTCTTTTAATGAGCAAAATTATTATTTTCCGACAACTTCAACGCCTTGTATGTACCAACTCAACGAGGCGATTTTGGATATAGCTAAGTTGGCCTTAATCCACTTGTTTTTATCCCAGGAGTCCACAGCCGAGCCATGTCCCAACCTTCTATACAGGCACCCTGTATATATTTCAAATTCAAAACTGGAGTCTCCCTAGATGCCCTAACGTTCAAAGGATTCAAAACGAATAAAAATTTGTACATGGTATGAAGAAAACAGTTTATTGAATATTTAATCATTTAATAATATCCTGTTTTGTGAAAACAATTTTCGCCGTAGGTATATTTCTTATTGTTTTTTCATGCTATCACAAAGACAAAACATATTCTTCTCTAGGAGAAGCATATTCAAGAATTATGATAAAAAGTAGAAAACAAACAGGCATAAATAATTAGTTCAATTAAGGAAGTGTAGGTAAATTTAGTATACAAAATAGTGCTAGAGGGTTCACAGTTTTTACATCATAAATCATTAAAAGCAATTATCACAATTCCAATCATAACAATTTCATGAATAATTCAACATTTATTCATGGAATATTAAACAAATTCATAGTTTAAGGAAGCTTGAATAGATTACAAAGAATACCCTATTGGCATACTCCAGCAGTCTGGTGGCACCAGGGGGTATTTCATCTAGCCAAAATAAATTTCAACATCTCAGTACAATCAGAGATAAGTTACCCAATCAACTCATTTCCGGTACACTTCAATATTCACCACGTTTTTGAGGGTGGAACATTTAGTCTTCTGAAGGTTGGATACAATGAAACATTTCCTTTAAGCTGTTGAAGTCCTGCTACAAAAAAGTGACTAACCCTATATAATATATAGGGGTAGAAATAAACAAAACATAAAATAAGAGCACTGGACTCCGTCACCTACCAAATACGGTGGAGATAAAATCACTCTGTATCAAAATGTATCAAACTATACTTTTTTCCAAATAAGAAGATGCAAAGTGGTGCTGCCTCTGAAGGAATGTTTACACTGACGAATAAATGAATATATGGCGCCCAATTCAAAATCACGACCATTCTAATTAGTTAATTCTACTTTTGAGTTCAACTTTAATCTCAGGATTCATTGAAACGAATACTACATGAAAATTGATGATGTGATCATTTTCTCATTAAAAAAACTTCAACCTCTATGTCACGTTTCAAGTCAATGTCAATGTCAGGCAGATATAGTATTGCCTTCAATATTGACCAATCGAAGCGGAGGTCACACTTCCCTATGATTTCCAACGCTGTGTTCTTAGTTGGAATGGAATATAATTTTCAAGCGGAACATGTACCACAGATAAAATGTGAACTGAAAATACCCAGTAAAAGAACTAATTGCACTGAAACTGTACTCAGTGTGCACTGTAAAATCGAGTGGAAAACGATACAAGTTTAATCAAAGAGATCGAGACCCAAAACTTCAACAACAAAAAATTAAACGACAAATTTGGAAACATATCCGTTCATGTCCAGCATCTCCAACAACTGAATCAAATGAGGTTGATACCCAGACCGACTGATCTTCCTCGCGGTTTTGAAAAAGAACGTAACGAATTCTTGAAAATTTTTGAAGATGCTCTCCAATTTATCGAAATTAGGATGGACGTATTCACCGTCTTCGCAAGTCCAGCTCCGAGATCGCAGATAGTCGAAGAACTTCAGTATCACAATGAAAGTTTTGTGGAGAACGCTTCTCAGAACTAAGGATTTTTGATTCAATAAACACCTAGAAGAAATGGATTACACAGGGTGATTCAAAGTTAGTTGTTTTGTTTTACTTCTGATGCAGTAGGTACTTACATGAAGAGTATATTTTTGATATAAGCAGTGTGAGCAGCATACAGCTCATCTAAATTGTTGACGTTCTCCAAATTTTTCTCAAACAGAGTCCAACTGGACTGCAAAACTTCTCCGACCACGTAATTTCGCAAGGTCTGTACGAAGTGTGTCATGATGTGCCGGCACTGATGTAACCTTCTGTATTGCGGAGATGACATTAGGTAAATTTCTTTTTTGCCTGTTTCCTTGGCTAATGCCTTCAACTCCTGGAAAAGTAAAAAACTGTTTGTGTTTTTCTAGAAGGCTAATTCATATTATTGAAAAGCAATATTCTGAGATATATTATTAACATTGATTTTATATATACAGGGTAACTCACGGTCGATGGTACGTTAGACGTTAATGGAGAACGGGACATAGGATCATTCTGAAATTTTGGTAACTCACGTAGTTGCTCTTGATCTATCGATCTAAAATATTTTCAGTTCTGCAGCGTTGCCGCTTCTATCGAAAAGTAGCAACAACTTTGTTATTTTAAATGGAACACCCTGTATTTTATTGCATTTTCAGATTCTCTCTGAAGAGCTGATTTCATCGATGTATCATACTTACATACATACATACCCGTTCTCCATAAACGTCTAACGTACCATCGACCGTGAGTTACCCTGTATATACAGTTCTCAACACACTAAATGGACCACTCATAATTTGACTCTTTCTCGAAAACCTGTATTTTTTGAAAAAATTGACCGATCTTCATGTGGTTTTCGATATCTGATGTGATATTTCATCGGCTTCAAAGAGAGCTAGAACACTCTGTAAAAGTCCGCAGAACAAAAACTTACACAGGGTGTAAAGTGAAACCATTACACTATGGTCTACATTTCCAATGCTGTCAGAACTCGAGAAATTTTTTTCTGATCAAAAGTCAGTTATATTTGGAGAAGTCATGGAAACCATCCATCCTTCTCAAAGTGGTCCAGATTTTTTCAAAGACCGACTTGGTGTATTTTGTTTTTTGTTTATATTTGGAGACACTGGGACCTCATCTCGGGATTTGGCTATTGGAACAAGAATTAGATTTTTTTTTCGAAAGTCTTGCATTTCTTGAATTTTTTCTCTAGAACTCCACTTGAGCTGAATATTGGGAAGAAATGTTCTCATGTTTCGTGGAGGACAATGAAAGACGAAAATAGCAAGATTATGGAATACAGGATGATAAGAAAATAGGACAAAATCTCATTTCAGTAAAAAAAATCAAAAACGGTGACTAAAACCATGGACCATTATTCATATTAGACTAATAACTCGAGACGTTTTCGGAAATTCACCTCTAATTGAAATACAGGATGAAAATTCTCAATTGAAACTTGTTTCCTGATATCGACGATTCTTAACAACTGATTTCCGATATTTATTGCCCAAGTATGAGACACAGAGTATTGTTGTTCAATATACTGAGTGTTTCACAATTTATCTGACAAAGTACGAACTCTAGAAAACAAAGCAGAGAGAGAAGAATGTGGTGGCCAGCATTATCTCCAGATCTGAATCCGATTGAGGATTTGTTAAATCGGGGAGGCCCTACTAGGTACTGAAATTCAGGATACAGGACTTTTGAGTTGGATCTTCATAATGCTGAAGAATTCACTAATGTCATATGTTGCAGTTATTTTTATTGTTATTAAATAGGATCACGTTTCCTCTGTACATGAGACAATGGATGTCAGAGTTTGATCAATAATTAAAAAAATGTTATGTCATTGATTTGTAATAAAGTTCAATATTGCAATTCAGTCGTTTAGTACTTAATATCATATTTCGCCAATAGAGCCCATTTCGAAGAGTTTTAGTGGATATAAAGTGTTATAAATTTCATTTTCCATCTCGTTTTACTTCTATAAAATTTTTATGTGATCGACTTCTTATGTAATATTGTAGTTGTGGTTGAAATTTGTTAGATGAGTTGTGAAACACTCAGTATATATATATTGAACAACACTACTCTGTGTCTCATACTTGGGCAATGAATATTGGAAATCAGTTGATAATAATCATCGATATCAGGAAACAAGTTTGAATTGAGAATTTTCATCCTGTATTTCAATAAGAGGTGAATTTTCGAAAACGTCTCAAGTTAATAGTCTAATATAAATAATGGATATCGAGAAGGCCGTTTCTGAATATACTGAATCTAATGGGCCATGATTTTAGCCATCGTTTTTGATTTTTTTTTACCGAAATGAGATTTTGTCCTATTTTCTTATCACCCTGTATATTTCAAAATGTTGCTTTTTTCGTCTTTCATTGTCTTCTACGAAACCTGAGAATAGTTCTTCCCCATAATCAGTCCAAGTGGAGTTCTAGAAAAAAAGTTCAAGAACACCCTGTGTAAGTTTTGTTCTGCGGACTTTTTCAGAGTGTTCTAGCTCTCTTCAAAGCCGATGAAATATAACAGTTTTTTGCTACTATCTCAGGAACCATCTGAGCTACGGAGTTGAGCCTTCGTACACACTTCATCATCAATAATGACTACTTTTAGGGCTCTTGATCAATTTCCTTGGATGTCAGTGGAGGAGAATTCAACGCCTCGTAAGGGTTTAGCCCCCCAAACATTTATGCCACTGGAGAAATTGTAATTTTCAAAGTAGATTCTGACGCGCCAATATCTTTCACACAAAAAACGTCCTCTTGTCTCAATGCTCTAAAGTGAACAGTTTCCGCGAAAAATGGCTCTTTATGAATAAGAACATACAAAATCCTGATGGTATCTCCAAAAATCTTCTAAAAATCCACTGGAAATAAACACCTCAGAACTGTCTAATAATATGTTCAGTCAAATGTCAGGTTCATGAGTATGCTGGTCTCGATGCTGGTTTTAAAATTGTTGAGTTCATTATGTGTTGTAAAGTGTGTTCGATCAAACTGAACATTTCTGATTTTTCGACGCCCTGTATCTTGAAAACGGAAGCCTGGAGAAGAATGTTGAAGAGGAAAGCAATGTTTCTTTGACAAGTTTTACGTTGTGACACCCTGTATATAGATGGAGGGTAGTCGTTGCTGACTAGTTAGGAAGAAACTAGAGAGTATTAGGGACTGCAGCAATGGGCTTATATCACAAAACATTTTTATTTCATAATTCGATAGAACTCACCCAAACTAGCTCACCACCGCAAACCGTTTCTTGCTGTGAGCTCCCTACGTTTTATAAAAAAATATTGAAATCCCCGATTTTTCGGACCTCTGAAAACGAGGCGATGATGTGACGTCAAAACCCTTATATTGAAACAAGACTATTCCAGACAGAGATGAATGATACATGATTTCTGATAGAGTGAATTAGCGCGAGATCACAGTTGAAAGAATTAATACATCAGTTGCCTGAGTCTCCGTCAAGCGTTTGGTACTTTATTTTAACTATGGCGAGATGAGGTTTCTACGTCATAAGAGGGGGTCCGTTTTCAGAAGGTTCTATTATTCATGCCCAGAAATAAAATATTACAGTTAATTTTTCTATCGAATTATGTTGTCAATCATTATTTATGTATAAAAGGATCATTATAAACATGGTTTGAGTTGAAAGTTCTACTAAGGTGTACACGCCCAGTCAAAGTGATCCAGTAGGCAACACGGAAGTTAACAAACACTGGTATGCAACTTCGCTTAGGTGAACGAACGTGCAACTCACCAAGAACGTCTTCTTCAACACCCACGACAGCCGGTTCAGCTTGAGTAGGAACTTGAACACCTCGTCGTACTTGCCGACCGTGTCCGTCGGCAGCAGGACGTTAAGCGGCCACTGCACCCTGTAGGTTAGCGACAGACAGTCCAGCACACTAGGGTCGCCCAGGTCGAAGCAGCTCGGCAAGCTGTTGATGCGGAAGGACAGGAAGTGCGTGTTGCTCTGGTTCCTGCAAGTATTTTTTTGTATATGACAACTGAGACAACCCATCAGAAGTCTAAACTTGTGCAGGGTTAGGAAGAGCGGGGCCTACAGCTTATAGTGAATTCCTTCAATTTCACTTTGAAGCAGTTCGGCAAGCTGTTGATGCCGAAGGACAGGAAGTGAGTGTTGCTCTGGTTCCTGCAAGAAGTGATGCGACCACAGAACTGAGAAATGAATCGGCAATGTTCTTTAGAATTCCGTCATAGACTACAGAACTCGCTACAGAAGTTAACTATAAGACGGGTCACTCGTTCATTAATCGACATGTATGAGAAGTTTCGCGGTTAAATGACTGACAGGGTCTTCGAAATCGCCGTCAATTACCTTTCAACCAACCGCAAACGTTTGGCTGTGCAATGATTTATGGGAAAGCAAAAAAACGCAATGTTATGTCATGCCAAAAATCGAATCCCAGTGAGTGAACAATCTAGAATTCAGTAATGTTAGATTGTGTTCAGGATTAACGCAGTCATGTTATGGAAATATAAAATTGTCTATTCGTTGATACACGCCTATTCTGAGAACAAATGGAATTTCATTGATTCCCTAAAATTGACCCATCAACAATATCCATGTCATATGATAGAATGCAGAGGTACAGTGTGCACACATAGGACATGTATGTTCCTTCGCCTGTTGTATGCGTTACAACAGTATTGATATTGTTTCTTTCTGAACTAACTGAATTATTTCATTTGAGCTGAACTGAATCAGTTGACATCCATTCAATCGATTTTAAGTCCTTTGATATTGGATATTAATTGATTCAGTTCAGTTTAGTTCAGTCAGTGTCAGAAGATAGAATACAGAGATATAGTGTGTATACAGAGATAGTTGATGTATCTTCCTTTGTCTGTTGAATGCCTTATAGCGTTATAACAGAGTCGCCTTATATAGTCACTGTGGACTCTTCTGCTTCAACTCTGTATCCATGTCAGGTTGCTACAAGTAGTGATGCGAATGAAAAAAAATCCTACAGATTTCTGTTCAGAATAAACTAACTCATGCTATGAAAATATTTTTTTTATCGATACACGGCTTATTCTAAGAACCAATGAGATTTCTTCAATTTCACCCTGTGGGTCAGCGACAGGCAGTCCAGCACACTAGGGTCGCCCAGGACGAAGTAGCTAGGCAAGCTGTTGATGCGAAAGGACAGGAAGTGAGTGTTGCTCTGGTTCCTGCAAGAAGTGATGCGACCACAGAACTGAGAAATGAATCGGCAATGTTCTTTAGAATTCCGGCATAGACTACAAAACTTGCTACAGAAGTAAACTATAAGACGGGTCACTCGTTCATTAATCGACATGTATGAGAAGTTTCGCAGTTAAATGACTGACAGGGCCTTTGAAATCGCCGTCAATTACCTTTCAACCAACCGCAAACGTTTGGCTGTGCAATGATTTATGGGAGAGCAGAAAACGTAATGTTATGTCATGCCAAAAATCGAATCCCAGTGAGTGAACAATCTAGAATTCAGTAATGTTCGATTGTGTTCAGGATTAACGCAGTCATGTTATGGAAATATAAAATTGTCTATTCGTTGATACACGCCTATTCTGAGAACAAATGAGATTCCTTTGATTCCCTAAAATTGACCCATCAACAATATCTGCATCAGCTGTATCCATGTCATATGATAGAATGCAGAGGTACAGTGTGCACACAAAGGACATGTATGTTCCTTCGCCTGTTGTATGCGTTACAACAGTATTGATATTGTTTCTTTCTGAACTAACTGAATTATTTCATTTGAGCTGAACTGAATCAGTTGACATGCATTCAATCGATTTTAAGTCCTTCGATATTGGATATTGATTGATTCAGTTCAGTTTAGTTCAGTCAGTGTCAGAAGAGAGAATACAGAGATATAGTGTGTACACAGAGATAGTTGATGTATCTTCCTTTGTCTGTTGAATGTGTTATAGCGTTATAACAGAGTCGCCTTATATAGTCGGTGTGGACTCTTCTGCTTCAACTCTGTATCCATGTCTGGTTGCTACAAGTAGTGATGCGAATGAAAAAAAAGCCTACAGATTTATGTTCAGAATAAACTAACTCATGCTATGAAAATATTTTTTTATCGATACACGGCATATTCTAAGAACCAATGAGATTTCTTCAATCTCACCCTGTAGGTCAGCGACAGGCAGTCCAGCACCCTAGGGTCGCCCAGGACGAAGTTGCTGAGGAGCTGTTGATGCGGAAGGACAGGAACGCACGATGTTCTTTGAACATTATAGGGATTCCCTTTCGTGCGCTCCAAGCGATAAAAAGAAATGCAAAAAAAAAAATAAATAAAAAAAAAGTGATACGACCACAGAACTGAGAAATAAATCGTCAAACCCGTCATAGACTACAGAACTCGCTACAGAAGTAAACTATAAGACGGGTCACTCGTTCATTAATCGACATATATGAGAAGTTTCGCCGTTTAATGACTGACGGGGCCTTTGAAATCGCCGTCTAATTAGGGGTCAATTGGCTGTGCGATGATTTATGGGAAAGCAAAAAACGCAATGTTGTCATACCAACAAACGAATCCCAGTGAGTGAGAGAACAATCCAGAATTCAGGATTAACGCAGTCATGTTATGGAAATATAAAATTGTCTATTCGTTGATACACGCCTATTCTAAGAACAAATGAGATTCCTTTGATTTCCTAAAGTTGACCAATCAACAATATCTGCATCAACTTATTTTGACCTCTATTACACGTGGTAGCTCTGTGTCCCAGCAATTTTGGGACACCCTATATATTGCTAAAAGTGCTAATACACCTTGATAGTAATAGTTATTTTCGTATCGAGGGCGTAAAATAGAATTTTATGGACCGTAGCATGTAAGAGCCTGAGCGGCAGCGAAGGCGATTTACAAGTCCATAAAAGCAAGTTACGCCCGAAATACCTACAACATTTCACGCACGACCGGTATATTCGATTTTTCATTGTGAATATCTCTTCACCTCTCGAGAACGATAGAAATAAAAATGGCTGCAGTGAGGAATATAATTGATGAAATCGACGTTACTATGGTAACTCAGTCAATTTTTTGAATCAGGAGTAGACTATTATATTTGCTGTCAATTAATGTCATCACAGATAACTTATTTTGGGTGACGGCTCAGGATATAATCTTTGTCCCTAGGTAATAATGATAACCTTCACTACCTTGGTGTATAAATAACCATTTTGCATCAGTACCTGCAAGACATGTCCATGGCGCCGAACATCAGATCCTGCAGGATGCGGCAGTTTATGAGCTCGGAGGGAGCGGCCGATTCGTACAGCTTGTGGAAGAGATTGTCCGTTATGTTTCTGGCGAATTCGCCGTCTTGGAGGAAGAAGTAGTCCCGCAGGCTGTGCAGGTGCGTCAGGTAGCCGAGGTCTTCTATAAAGTACCTGCGAAGTGTCAGAAATTTTTTTCAATGTACTGGTACCTATCGAGTTTCTCACATTCAACAATCACACTTTGTTTACAACCGATATTCGCGATAGAAAATAATTTTTAAATAAGTTCTATCGCAAATCGATGTTGGAGATGTCATTTGTTAATATTGCTATGCTAACCTCACCAAGAGACTGTCAAACTCGGCAAATATGTCGCCAAGCTGCAGATTTTAGATTAGAATGGCAAAACAATGTATAGTAGGTAGTAGGTACCTAATATCTTCAGGACCTAACAACTTACTATGTGAACATACCCGTTGGTAAGTCGTTCACCTCTGAATGGAGAAAATATTATCTAGCCGAGAACAAGGTTGGTAGAATTGATGATTATTTGTAAAGGAAGGTTGCCTCGATCAGAAAACGCGGTGAGGGGAATTAGTAATTCCTGACGTAATCGCATCCAAAATTTCATGTTGAGATCATAGAATGTATGTATAATTCTACATCACACCTGGATAGGTAAATATACTTGAAAACAGTTTTAGAATATAGATTCCCATGACTCCGAAATGGAATTTTACATGAGATTACGTCACGAATCCCCACTTCTCCCACCGTATGCTGATCGAGGCAACGCAACCTTCCTCTACAAATAATCATCAATTCTACCAACCTTGGTTGAGAAGAATAATAGGAGAGCGATAAATCGAGGTTTGTGAGTGTTTATAGCCAGACAATTTCTTTTATTTCCAGATGTACTTTCACAGTTGGCATCTGTGTGTTTCACTATCTGAGTAGTGACGTCAATAGTTGTGAGTGGAAAATTTCAAACGTTTGAATGGTAATTTTGAAACTTCAAAAATTTAAAACATTCGTGTGGAGATTCAGATTAAATAATAAAAAAAATATTCACGACCCATTGGAATCTGCGAGATATTTCTGATGAATATGCCACTAGTAGCGTCTTAACCACTTCTGAACACATAATTATTCATTGCGTTTTATAACTAAATAATCGATTATTATAACTAGTTTTCTCCACTTTCGGGGCTCAAGAATGTCCTTTAGTCCGTCTAAATATAGGCTAAGAATGACATATTTGATCCCTTGAAACGAACGTGATAAATATATGAGTTTATTCATTATTTCAAATCAAAATGACAAAATGAACAAGTGGTAATTTTTGTGAAATCGAACTGCAACAGGGGCAGATGACCAATATTATCGTTTTTTTTTTCATTTCAACCTGTTTAAACTGGTCTCACATCAATAAAACCTTGATTACATTGAACTGTGAAAACTACAGGGTATCTATATACCGGGTGACCAGTTATATTCTGACCCATTTCAAATGCTTATATCTCTGAAACCATTCAAGTTATCGTTGTGCAGTATGGACTAGTCTATTTTGATATTTTTCAAGTTTTTTTGACAGGTTCACCTTCTCTCTTGAACATCCGGTTCTACCGGAAACAAACTAGCCATTATTCAGGTATAGGGCAACTTATTTATTTCATTGAATCACCCTGTATATTTTTGCACATTCAGAAAAACTGGTCTTTTCTCTTTCTAACAATGTATAACAAGTTATGTTTTCTTAGAAAACTATCAGAGTTATAACTGTTTGAAACAACTACTGCATGTGGAATGGTGTAATGAGATTTTGCAATGTAACCAAAGTCGTCTTTGGAAATCCTGATCACAACACATGAAATGCCAGATTAGATGTGTCAAATAAAGATTGTCGGGTATTTGTACTTTCTTCGAGTTGAAAAAATGTTTACTTTGACTGAAAAACCAATTGAACTCATCATAAATCTGCATCAGATTTATACTCAATATACGGTTCAGGATAACATCCTAATATGCAGTATATGCTTCAAAGAGTTATAACTCTGATAGTTTTCTAAGAAAACATAACTTGTTATACATTGTTAGGAAGAGAAAAGACCAGTCTTTCTGAATGTGCAAAAATATACACGGTGCTTCGATGAAATAAAAAAGTTGCCCTATACCTGAATAATGGCTAAGTTGTTTCCGGTAGAACCGGAAGTTCAAGAGAGAAGGTGAACCTGTCAAAAAAAACTTGAAAAATATCAAAATAGACTAGTCCAAACTGCACAACGATAACTTGAATGGTTTCAGAGATATAAGCATTTGAAATGGGTCAGAATATAACTGGTCACCCGGTATGAATGCGAAAATTTATTCAATCAAATAAGTTTACATTGGACTATTATCGCCTCACTGTCTGCTGTATCTTAGTATATAATCATGATATTGAAATGCATCCTTATTGATTGGTTTATAGAAAACACAAAAAACATGTTTTGTATAAGACATCTGTTTTCTTGATTTTTGTTTTTATGTGCATCTTGATTAAATTTGAGTGAGAATTCACATTGTTGAAAGCATTTTATACAACTTATGTAAATAATAAACAATTTGAATACATATTCAATTAATATTCTTTGATGATATATGTATGTTTCACTTGATGGAATAAATTGATGATCGCTAAGAGAAATTTCTAACCATTTGCTATCTAAACAAATGGTGTCCATAACGTTGAAATCATTCTCTCACCTTAGTAATTCGTTGTTGATCAATTTTATCTGAGCCACTAACGGTATCTGCATGGACTCATGCAAAAACAATTTCAAACAGTTAGTGGTAACCCCCGCAGCTTGCTTTCGAGTCACCCGTTTGGAAAAAACCTTTTCCTGAGGCTTCTCCTCCGATTGTTTCTGACTGGAATAAATCTGAACGACGGGAAGCTCTTTCTGCTGCTCGAAATGAAACCCTTCATCCGTCTGGTGAGTTTCTGCGGTATTGGGGATGCTTTCGAGGTGGTTGGTGTCGATGCTGAGGAACATGGTACTAGGGGTGGTAGCTCCGCTGTGGGGGAGATCGCTCATGGGGGTAGAGTCTACCGACATGGGGATGGGGCGATCTGTATCGGATCTGGCTGATTTCAAACTTACCTTGAAGCCGAATCAGTATGAATGATAATCATTGAGATTTCAGCAATTGATAGTTGAACAAACATATTCATTATTATTAAATTTGCTTCTTTTCTCTGTGGAGAAGATCACATTCTAAGGACCTTTGTGGAACTGCTGCCAAATCGGCAATTTAACAGAATCATTCGGATAGAACACCTTTACGTTTTGGCATATTACAGCTCATGTCCACGATGACATATGAGTGTCAGAAAATATAATGATAATACATATCAACATTCATTCTGACGTCCCTACATAACGAAATGATGAATGAGAATTGTCTGTTTCCGATCTGGCCGATTTCAAACTCACCTTGAAGCCGAATCAGTATGTATGATAATCATCAGATATTCATTATTATTTGCCCGTTTTCTATGTGGACATTACATTCTATAAGAACCTCTTTGGAATTACTGCCATATCGGCAATTCACAGAACTATTCGGATAGAACATTTCATTTTGGCATAAATAGAGAAAATGGAACAAGTTTTATAACCTAACAATTTGCCCATGATAACATGAGTGATGAGGGCCAGAAAATATAATGATTATAAATATCAATAGTTATCCTGACGTCCCTCCATAACAAAATGAAGAATGAGAATTGAATGATTGATGAACGCAGAGCTTATCGCAAAAATTGGAGCAAGTTTTATAACATAAGAATTATTCACCCATGCTAACATCTATCAGAAAATTAGACTAGTAATTGATATTAACATTATTCTGACGTCATTACATAACAGAAAGGAGAATAAGAATCGAATGTTAGATAAACGTGGCATCACTGCAAAAAATTGTTTGTGTACGAGCACTATATATGGTAGCAACATATCGTAGAAAATGTCATCTTTATCGTTTGTGTACATGTTTGTGTTATTATTTTTCCGGCTTCCGTGTTACTAGTTTTAGTTGCCTTAGTGAATTATTGTGTGACTTATTTAGTATTTTATATCTAAGTCGGACTATTTTGTGAACGTAAATTGTTCGAAAGTGAAGCATAGTTATGTCACAATACTTCATGTTTATAATCGGACAAAAACACAATTATAGAAATCGCCAGTTATCATGTTTATTAAAAATACCCATAATACGGCATGATTCACTGCCCATGATTCCAAACATTCCAAACTTCACCATTCGCTACTCCATTCATTAATTTTCAATCTATTTCCATAATCGAAAATTTTGAAAAGTACTAGTCAAAACGGTTTGCTTCATGTTGTATCAAAATTCATTGAAAATAAGATAATGTACTATGAATTCCCATTGATTCGTCGGACTGACCCACACCCTAAATCGCTCAGACCCATTAGTCTGACATCCTTTCTGTTGAAAAGCATGGAGAAAATACTGGATGGACACATGAGGTGCGGTGTACTAACAAAACACCCCCTTAATGTTCACCAGTATGCCTACCAAGCTGGCAAATCAACAGAACTTGCCCTCAATAACCTGGTCTCAGGAATAAACGACGCCCTGGAACAACAGGAGATAGCAGTCGCAGCATTCCTGGACATAGAAGGAGCATTCAACAATGCACTACCTCATTCCCTCTATGAGGCTACTGCCTCCAGGGGAATTGAACCAATACTATGTGACTGGATAAGAACTATGCTTCATAGCAGAACCATAACGACCTCCCTACAGGGGGAAAGTGTCGGCTTCAAGCCAGCCAGGGGCTGCCCGCAGGGGGGAGTCCTCTCCCCTCTGCTGTGGTCACTGCTGGTGGATGATTTGCTGGCCATTCTCTCGATATGGGAGGTCGATCTGCAAGCATATGCTGACGATCTGGTCCTAGTAATACGAGGCAAATCCGAAGAGACGATCTCCTACGTCCTTCAGGATATACTAGATACCATATATAAATGGTGTGAGAGGGAGGAAATGTCCATTAACCCCCACAAAATGGTCATAGTACCGTTCACCAGAAAAAGGAAGCTGGAACATCTAAGACCTCCTTCCATCAATGGTGTAACAATTCCTTTCGCGAGTGAAGCAAAATATCTTGGACTAACCCTTGATAAAAAGCTAAATTGGAACTCGCACCTGGAAAAGACTATCCGAAAGGCTAGCCTATCACTATGGACATGCCGCAGAATATGTGGCAAAACATGGGGCATGTCACCAAAACAAGTATACTGGCTGTACGTGACCGTCATACGACCTATGATCACGTACGGCTCTGTAGTCTGGTGGGGCAAAGGCCAACAGAAAATGGCCCAGGCCAAACTCAATGGACTACAGAGACAAGCGTGCCTGGCGATTACGGGGGCCATTTGCTCCACGCCAACAGCAGCAATGGAAGCCCTTCTTGGACTACTTCCTCTTCACATAGTTCTGGAGAGAGAAGCAAGATGGGCAACATACAGACTCCACCAAGCGGCCACTAGTCAACCGCAGGCAATAGTCATGAGAGGCAGCAGCATGCTGGAGGGCATAATAGCTCACAACATTCTGGGAATGCCCTCAGACATCATGCCTAAAACTATCAACCTTCACAAATCCTACACGGTGGTCTTCCCTGAAAGAGAAGACTGGGCTCGGAACGAAACTGACCTATATAGGGCTAATGAATGTTGGTTCACCGATGGTTCTAAAACTCTGGAAGGCGTCGGAGCCGGAATATACGGGATGAACCCAGTAGTGAAACGCTCATTCAGCATGGGCAAATTAGCTACGATATTCCAGGCAGAGGTACATGCCATTGAAATGTGTGCAAGGGAGTTGGAAAATCGACACCACACACGGAAAACAATAAAAATATTTTCAGATAGTCAAGCAGCACTGAAAGCGCTTGAATCCAACTGCTTTAAATCTAAAGCAGTATGGAACTGCAGAGAAACCTTGAACCAACTAGCAGAACGTAACAACGTGAACCTAGTTTGGATACCAGGTCACACGGGCCTAGTAGGAAACGAAATAGCGGACGCCCTAGCAAAAGGGGGGGCCGAAACACCGTTCACTGGGCCAGAACCGATCATCGGTATAGCATATAGCACTGCCAAGAATGCTATAACATCCTGGGCAGATAAGAAAAGACTCGAGTACTGGCGCAGTCTACCGGGCCTAGCCCATTCCAAAGCATTTATTGCTGGTACAAGGAACAAACAGGACACTGACAAACTACTAGAACTCAGCAGAGCAGATCTCAGAGTTATAGTAGGGTTGCTCACTGGCCACTGCAAACTCAAATACCACATGCACAAAATCGGACTTGCACAAGATGCAGAGTGCCGCCTATGTATGGAGGAGGATGAAACGGCGAAACACATCCTGTGTACATGCCCCGCAGCGGCCAGAACCAGATTTTCAATATTCGGCAATACAACAGTAAGGCCAGAAAACCTGGTAAATTGTTCTCCCAACGCAATCCTCAATTTCGTTAAGAAATTGGATATACAGGGAGAAATATAACCCTAGGGTGAGCCACAATAGGCCAATGGCCGCAGTGGAGGGCCTGACAATAGGCCCACTCACGTTCAACCTAACCTAACCTAACCCATTGATTCGTGATCAAAAAGACAAAATCTGGATGACCTCTTACCAAAATTCATAATTACAATGACATCCCAATTAGAACAACAAATCCAGAAAGATGTGATTTCTTGGTGTTTTTTGACAAAATGATATCCAGACTTTTTGTTAGCTCACCAGATCTTTTTTGTAAAGTTGACATTTTATCCATTGGAGTTGAGTTTTTGTCCGGGTGTTTCTTTATCATTTTTTATGTCACGTAAGGACAGATACTAAACCATCCTTTGAAATTCCTATATTATTATCATTCCTACTGATCCAATCCCCAAGTTTATACATTTCTCAACTACAACAAACCCTATGCCTCTTCAAGGACTACCTAGATTGTGTTTATTCATCATATAAAGTTCCATTCAATCGTTTTGTAGAAATTAGTATACTTCATAGAATGATAGAACCCTCAGCAAATCCCAGCTAGCAAATATAAATGAGTCACATTTGTAAATATACAGTTTTCTGACTTTGGAGTAGTAAACAATGACTTAATCAAAATTCGTTTCACGATATTACACTCACCCTATCTAAATCGAGTAACAAGGATTTAGATTTCTTCACGGCACCAGTTCCATTGGAATTTTCTTCAATGTTCCTCAAATTCTTATTGACGAAGTTCTCGTTATCCAACACCTTATGAGCGAAGCAATCGCTGATGCCCATAACCCTATTCCTGTTCACCATCTGAGCACTTTGAACTCTCTCAGGCATGCTCAATTCAGGAGCGAGCTCGATACCAAACTCGGTGGATAGAATTTTCAGTTTGTTCTTCTGCGCATCTGTAAGGTATGTCGTACGAGGAACGTCAGCTGTCTTTGTCATGGGATTTTCGCCATAGTCGATTCCCATTTCTTGGGTCATCACTTTGTGTTTGATTCTTCTGGCTGTCGCGAAGTTTTCTTTTGCTTGTTGGATATTCGAGTTGGCGTTTTTGTCCGTAGATTCGTTTTGATTTCCATCACCAATGTTGGCGTTGATGATGTCCAGAGATTCTGAGGAGTTCATATTCGTTAGATGATGTTCCACTTCTATTTCCATTTTTTCTACTTTAGCTTCATTTGTGTTTGCTTCTTTTTCTGTATGTTCTGGTATTGAGTAGAAACTATCAGCAGAACTGGTTTCTGCCAGATTTTCAAACGATTTGGACTTTTCTTCGATTGTTGTCAAGATATTTGGTTCTATGTGGATGCTTTGAATTTTTTTCACATAGATATCTATTTCGGATTTCTTGTTATCTGCAGTTTTGCATAATTTTGAATAGTAATCTATCAATTTATCCCTAAAAAATAATTTCACATTGCTATAGAGAATTTATAGAATGACTATACTGACGCTTCTTCGTGGATGAGTTTCTGTCTTTTCAATTCAATGGCCAGGTTTTCTTCTTCTTGTCTCATGTCTTCTTCGATCTCTCTGGCAATCCGGAGTTGTTTTTGTTCCATAGCAGCATCATACTGTTCTCTCAATGAGTTTATTTCCTCAAGTTTCTTCTCATTTTGCTCCATCGAACGTTTTTGTCTCTCCACTAAAAAATAACGTTAGCACCAGACAGAACGATCGATATTCAATTGTCTGCCTAATGTTTCATGCAGCTGGTTCAAAATGTGATAAATATAATATGTTATTTGATTCAAATTTTGACAGGTCTACTGGATTGATTAAAACATGTGTTGCCGCAACCATTGCAACTAATTTATCTGACATTTCAAGTGAGACTCTGTCCTATAATTTTTTATATAAGTTGAATCGGCAGTGATATTACATGCTTTCAGTCTCTCTGGAAGAGTCAACAAGATATTGTCTATTTCCTTTCCAATTCAAGATTCTTTGAATTTCGAACACTCATCTCAACCCCATGCTTGGGAATTAGTTTATCTACTATTTTTACATCAAAACTATTGACGCTTATTACTTCATAATCTATGATTTCAATAGTTGCAAGTCAGGTTGCACATCAAGTGAGATTCAAGCTGTTCTCAAAGTAGAGAATGATAATATACAATCGTATTATTTCACGACGAATGTACAGGCTGATTCTGAAAATCTCGATTTTTCACATCCTATAACTCTGTACTGTCTGTGATTTTTACTGCTAGACCCCAAGTGTTATAGGTCAATGAAATCAGCTCTTCAGGGAATATGTGAAAATGATATAATATACTGGGGGTCCCATTAAAAAAAATCAAAGTTGTTGCTACTTCTCAATATAAGCGGCAACGTCGCAGCGCTGAGATTATTTCAGGTCAATAGAACACAACTAATTATTCAAGGAACCAAATTTTCAAAATAATCCTACGTTGCGTTCTCCAGAAACTTCTAATGTACCATTCACCGTGAATCAGCCTGTATAATAATTTGAATTCAATTAAATACTGTTCTGATCTCCACAGTTCGAATAGTATATTGGGTTGAGCACGTGAATGGCAGACTTATCAGACCATTATTTCTTCTATTTCGAAAAGCAGATGCAAAATAAGATTATGAAGATGTGCCTCTGAATATGAGACAGACAATAATTTTGTTAAGGGATCACACTCCAATATCAAACATAATGAAGCTGAGTTTAACCACACAAATTTTCCACAAGGTGTTAATAAAATGAGGGTGAAAGAGTAACTTTTGGTTTTCTTGTATAATGATCAAGCCATCAGGTTTTCTTGGGAACTAAAATTCAGGCTAACATTCCAAAACGCAAACTACGATTTGGTCGAAATTCCACCAAAATCGAACTAGCATTGGATATCAATTTGGAGAAATTTTATTGTAGCCGGTTCGTACATTAATTGATGAATATTTTCTGTGTTTTGGATTGAAATCAATATTTCAGTACTTGAAAAATGTCCATGTATATGGAATGAAAGGTGAATCGATTAAAAAGAAAGTACATCAAGCTGATATTTTAGATGTCATTTTTTTTAATGTTAACAACAAGTGGAAAATAAATATAAGAATGTTGTGATTTAGTGTTAGGCATATCATTTCAACTTCATTATCCTCATCCAGAAACACATTATGTTTGTTTTCTCATTCCTATGACTTCAGTTGGAGCACACTCAGATTAGAACTGCTGTAGGGCACCAAATACAATGACAAATGAATAATGTTCATAAAAAGTAGAAGCGTCGAAGTTATATCTTCACCATTATCGAACTCCCATTTAATGTATCCAAATGTATTGTACTATCTTGTAGCCGAAAATTATCTAAAATATTATACGATTACTCGATGAACGACATGCAGTTATCCATAGTAGAGACTGTTAAAGATTTGGGTACATATTATAACTCCGCACTTTCGTATAAACCACATTTGAATCATATCGCATCGCAGGCACTACGGACTATGGGCTTTGTAATGAGACAAAGTGCACATTTCAATGACAGCAAAGCAACAACTGCACTTTATAATACTCTAGTAAGACCTAAACTAGAATATGGCGCTGCAATCTGGCATCCCTCTCAGCAAATCAACAAAAATATTTTGGAAAAAATTCAAAACAGATTCCTGAGATATCTGTATTATAAAAAATATAAAGTTTACCCGGACTATAATATAGTTAGAACAGTAGCACTTAGAAGGGAATTTGAAATACCCAGTCAAGAAAATAGAAGACAAGCAAATATAGTCACAATGTGTGATAAAATCTACAAAAAATATTATAACTGCCCCTATCTCCGATCAGTATTGAAAAGAAGATCTCCCAATCGATTGACCCGGCTTGTACAATTCTTTGATGGTCCATATCTATCAAGTTATAACTGTTCACCCATTATAACAATGATAAAATTAACAAACAACTTCCTACTATTGTCAGCAGTCAGCTTTGTTCTCCCTCCCTCAAAATTTTATTATGGTATGAAAACATATTTTTCTAATTTAGAATAATAGTTATTTATTATACAAGGGGAAAAAGTAGTAGATTTTAGCTCCAGGTTGTGTTGTCTCCCGACGCGTAGCGGAGGGAGACAAAAAACCGTGAGCTAAAATCTAATATTTTTCCCGTGTATAATACAGTATTTTTTTCTGTGACAGAAGGAAGGACGAATCAATATTGGGAAGATATTACATTATTTCGAAATCTGAAAATTATCAACGTGAAATTTCAAGTTTTTAACAGTAGGGACACCTGCGTTTTATAGACATCTTTATCATTCTTTTGAAGTAATCAAATATCTGATGTCACTTCTGTCAGTTCAATTCTGTGATTTGATTTTAAAAAATTGCGAATTCAGTAGTTGTTTAGTAATATACGAAACCGCGAAGTCGAATGGAAGATAAAAGGACTTGCAGTTCTTTCTCGGAGAGGGTATTATTGACTTATTTTTCGGAACTATAGCACAACAAAAGCCATTAACAGAGTATATATATGTGATATATATCCGGGAAAGAAGTACTCACTTTTTTCCCACGGGAAAAAGTAATTTATGAAAAGTGACATTTTATAACCTGCCAACAGAGATGAAATGCCAAACTTTTTTCCCGTCACAGAAAAAACAGTTTTTATAGTGTGTTCGCGCCATCAGTGATTTGAAATGATCATTTCAATTATTGTAGTTAGTAGAATATTTGCAATGATATACTCTACGACTGTTATCATATAGATACTGTTGTTATATACATTATGATTCTCATGTAATAAGGTTTTCTACCTGTTTGAGAATAAATAAATAAATAGATTATCTGTTCTTGTAGGAACATAGCAGACTGAATGTATCTCATCTCCTCTCTGTTCAAGTTAAACATCTCACTTTAAGAACACGTTAACAGTTAAAAATTGTCCAGCAAAAATTGTATGTTCTATTTCAATGTCATACATACATTCAAGTTTCTTCAAAGTTGTTGCCCGTTTCTTAGCAATCAGACCCAGCAAAGCCGAATCATATTGATGCGATTTCAACAGAACTTCTCTGAGATTGAATCTGGGTCCACACTCCTCACACACATCCAAATAATAATTGGTGGTGTTTTGCTGCAGTGTTGCCAACTGGTCTAACGTTAGACAACATGAAATGATTGATGGTTTCTTACCCATCAAGTATATTCGTAAGTTATTCTAGAAAAGTAAGGAAATATGAATGTTAGCCAGATGTTGAAATTGAGACAGTTTTATACTTACCGAATAGTCACAAAACTTTAGTAAGCTCATTGACTTGCCACAGAATAATATATCCATCTTTAAGTCTATGAGAAAATCAGGAATTATATCTTCTCGGATACTGTAACTTCTTGTCCAATATGTTCGTCCTCTAGAAATTATGTACTTCAAGTTTGGCTTGATGAAGAATTCTCCATAGGGATCTTCTATGACTCCTTCCAGAATCCATTGTTTTAAAAATCGGCTGAAACGTTGATGAACTTTGAACTACAGGATACGAATGAAAAAATCTGTTGAGAACTTGTAAGAAATCCGAATAGACTAAACATGTCTTAGTGAATCCACATATGCGAATAAACGCCTTATTTTGTGAATTTCATGCAAAATCAGAGAATTTCATCACTCACCTATTCCTACAAAAAAATCGCTTTATTTTTGTAGATAACATATATTATAATATGTTAAAAGACTTGGTCTTGATTGTTTTAATTCTCCACAAAATATTAGCGGTATTAGAAAAATTTTGTTAGAGAACTGTGAATGAATATTTACGAAAGAGTCAATAGATTTTTATCAACCCTGAACAGACAGATTCCCGATACCTATAATATATCAAATATCCAAATCCCACCTCCCTGCACAATTACATCTCCCAAATGCGACACAAGACTTGCTACGTTAAAAAAAACGGAAATCAATGCAGATACAATCAGAAGAACATTCTACAGTTTCCTAGAAGAATATACCGATTTCCATCACATCTACACCGATGCTTCTAAATCCGATAGTGGTGTGGGCGCGGCCTGAACATCAGCCAACTACGATGCCTCATATAAACTCCCTTGCGAGACCTCAGTATTTACTGGTGAGCTGTATGCCATATGGAGAGCAATACAATATGGACGGGAAGCGCATCTGCAAAAATCACTGATCCTAACAGACTCTCTAAGCTCAATTTCAGCAATGGCTATCCAATACCCCAGCGAGCACAAAAACATCTCAGAGATGTTAAAAGTACGAGATTTCGAGACATTGAACCTCCACTGCGATATTCTGTTCACACATGAATAGAACCATAGATAGAACTATTATAGAACAGCCAATATCCGCCGCAGGCGGCAATTATCGAGATGTCCTTGATATGTCACAAAACTACCTTCTCCCTAGTTCCTTTCAAAGCCTTTTCATGGACACAACAGAACATTTTCGAGGTACTTTTCTGAATGAAAAAATGCATTAAAAATAGATTGAACATAAAAATATTTTCTTGATATGAAATTACCTTCTTAATCGGTTTCTGAGTAGTGCTTACTACACACAGACATATAATTGGAAATAGGTTTCCCAATTTTTGAAATGTTCTCCACAATGCATAATTTTGCAACTGCGGAGAAGCTGTGTATTGATGAATTCGTACTTTTATATATTGATTACACTGAGGCACCGAACAACACATCTTGCATCTGATGGTCATTATTACAAACTAAATAAGTCTTCTAACACAATAAACTTCACCAAATTCCTTTCTGTTCGTTAGCAGCGTGATGTAAGCGTGACACGCTGCAAACGCGAATGCCAATTGCGAACAAGAAGAACAAAATCGAAAACAAATCAGAATTCATCGTATTGTGACGTAAGCATGAGACGTTGTGGTGGGGCAAACAAAGAAAGGGTACAAAAGAACAAAAACAATACTTTCAATATCCTTCTAAGACCTCTTTGGGAAGTGCATATTACGCCTCAAAAAAAACATCCTCATGCCTACATTTCTAAAACATCCCAAAACATCCCAGGGATACCTCTCAGTAAGCAAACGAAGAAATGCCACAGAAGAACAAAAACAATACTTCAATATCCTTCAAAGACCTCTTTGGTCAGTGCATATTACGTCTCAAAATAACATCTTCATGCCAACATTTTCAAAACATCCCAAAACATCCCAGGGATGTTTGTGCTCGCTGGAACCCTAATCATCCCATACTGCTGCTCATCAAACAGGAACTGAAGCTTATACAGGATGAACAGCTCGAACTCAGGTTAATGTGGGTACCCTCCCATGTTGGCATCATAGGGAACGAGAGAGCTGACAGTCTAGCATGCGATGCATCAAACCAAGCAACACTATCATCCGAGAAAAGAGTTCACACAGATCTGAAGCAAACTTTCAAACATGCCATCATCACAGCATGGCAGTCTCAATGGGACCTTTCGTTGTCAAAACTTGCAGAATGTAAACCATCCGTACGTCCTAGGGAATATGTTCCGAAGAAAAGAAATCACCAAGTTATAGTGACCAGACTCAGGCTAGGTCATACCAGGCTGACACACGAGCACATCATCGCTCGTACTCCCGAACCAATTTGTGAAGTGTGTGAAACTAATCTGACAGTGAAACATATACTAGTGGAATGCCCACTTTATTATCTTGAAAGACTGAACCACCATCTGCCAAGGGATTTGAAAGACATATTAGGTGAAGAGTGTGACTTACAGCAACTATTGGCATTTCTCAACGACATAGGCATATACACCAAAATTTAACCTACTTTTCACAAATCATTGAAATATCTTGATGTAATTTCATATCGCTGATAACCTTAATGGTTGATGCGATTTCTTTCTTCAAATAAAAAAATATATATATATTTACCTGAAATAAATTTGGCAACAAGGATACAGGATTGAATACAATACACTGATAGTTTTCTCATCCGTCAGTGTCAAAACTTTCTGATAAAGATAATTCAAGAGAGCCACACCATGAGGGATATCTTCGGCTCTATGAAAGGAACCGACTTTGCATATGGAAGCAAGAGTTGCTATTTGCCATTGCAATTGGCGAGTTTTCTCGTGGAACTGAAGGAAATGAATGGAATCGGGTATGTTGAAAGCGGCTGTTCGATGGAATTCCAGGTAACGGCTGATACTCTCACAAAACTCCTGAAAAAAAAAATCAATAGAAACGTTGGAATTCCATGCGGCGAAAATTAAGTTCTCAACCAATTTCAGTTTCTTTGATAGATAGATAGATATACAGGGTCGCTGATATGTATGGAAACAGGTGAATATCTCGGCAATCTGTTGTTAGATTTGTTAGAATTTTTGTACAGTGTGATTTCAAAACGTGGCGGATTTGAAAATGTTATAGCCTCTGTTGCCACTCTTTCAGTTATTCCGGATTTTTTGTAACTTCCTTATTTTGAATGAAACACCCTGTACTTTATTGGATTTCCATATTCTCCTTGAAGAGCTGATTCCATCGATCTATCACACTTGGGGTCGAGCTGGAATGATTACATAGGTATAGGGTGTTTAAAATCTAGGTTTTTCAACTTTAGGATTTTTTTGTGTAGAAACTATCCATTATCGATCAAAACCGCTCCAATGTTCCTATCTTCACTTTTGATTTACTATCTACTGACGTTTTAATTGGAACAGATACAGAGGGTGATCAGAATTCGGAATCTTGAACCACCCTGTATTTGTTTCAATTAAATGTCAGTAGATAGTAAATCAAAAGTAAAGATGGGAACATTGGAGCGGTTCTGATCGATAATGAATAGTTTCGACACAAAAAAATCTTGACCCCAAGTGGGATAGATCGATGGAATTATCTCTTCAAGGAGAATCTGAAAATCCAATAAATGACAGGGTGTTCCATTTAAAATAAGGAAGTTAATAAAAAATCCGGTATAACTGAAAAAGTGGCAACATTGGCTATAACATTTTCAAATCTGCCCCGTTCTGAAATCACACAGTACATAAATTCAAAAAAATCCAACAACAGGTTACCGAGATATTCATCTGTTTCCATACATATCAGCGACACTGTATAGATAGATAGATAGATAAATATACTTTATTGTCGAAGAAAAATAATTTCTTATTGACAAAGCTTGAAACAAAATATAGTCAGTGAAACTCTTAAAAAAATAGAGTTGAACATGAAAATTTGCAGTTTGTTAAGAAACAAATAGTTATTTATTATACAAGGGAAAAAAGTAGTAGATTTCAGCTCCAGGTTGTGTTGTCTCCCGACGCGTAGCGGAGGGAGACAAAAAACCGTGAGCTAAAATCTAATATTTTTCCCGTGTATAATACACTATTTTTTTCTGTGACAGAAGGAAGGACGAATCAATATTGAGAAGATATTACATTATTTCGAAATCTGAAAATTATCGACGTGAAATTTCATGTTTTTAACAGTAGGGACACCTGCGTTTTATAGACATCTTTATCATTCTTTTGAAGTAATCAAATATCTGATGTCACTTCTGTCAGTTCAATTCTGTGATTTGATTTTAAAAAATCGCGAATTCAGTAGTTGTTCAGTAATATACGAAACCGCGAAGTCGAATGGAAGATATAAGGACTTGCAGTTCTTTCTCGGAGACGGTATTATTGACTCATTTTTCGGAACTATAGCACAACTAAAGCCATCAACAGAGTATATTATATCTGATATATATCCGGGAAAGAAGTACTCACTTTTTTCCCACGGGAAAAAAGTAATTTATGAAAAGTGACATTTTATACCCTGCCAACAGAGATGAAATGCCAAACTTTTTTCCCGTCACAGAAAAAATATTTATTATCATTCACAGAATAAAAAATAAAAAACACAATTTTACACAGAATCATTATTTGAACATAAGTTCACAAGTCATCAAATCAGAAACATATTTTATAGTTCAAAATCAGACTCCACATATAGGATAAATAAAAGACAATATGAAACTTCTAATCACAACAGAGTTTCATTGTAAAATTCCTCAAGGTTGTAATACGCTTTTGTTGCAAGGGCTTTTTTCACAAGATTTCTGAACTTTTTATAGCTTTTCTCCTTCCTGATTTCATACGGTATGTGGTTAAACGGCTTTTTACTTTCATATATTGAAGAATATTTTGTCTGGCTTGTTTTTGGAACAGGAAGAGGTATTTTATTTTCTGTTGCTTGACGGGTTACGTGTTTTGTATGTCTCGGAGTTTCAACCATATTATGTTTTTTGTATATCAGGCAAGCAGTTATCCAGAATGAAAATACAAGTGATAGTTAGATTTTTTTCTCTAATGAATAAAGGTCTACATGGATCACGCACTCCCACCTTGCATAAGTATCTTATCGTTCGCTTTTGCAAAACAAACACAACACAAACACAGACTATCAGAGGCACACTTACAGGGCAAGTTGGTTAGCCTTTTTTCAACACCCAGTAGTAATTTTTTCCAGTTTTTCAATATTTCGATTAAAACAGCTTGAATTAAATCTGTTCACCAACCGAGTTTTGTTTGTCAAATCTCGTTTCGTTTTAAAGAAAAAACTATGAAAATCAAACATTCACCAGTCTGATCCTTCTGAAACTACAACTAGGATTCTACTAGGACTCTATAAACATTCAAAACATTTGCCAACTTTGTGAAATTATGTTAGCAAGATAATTTTGAAATACAGGAATATGATTTCATGGTGGCAGATAGTAGATGAGAAATATTTAGAACTTTTTTTAATTTTCGAAAAAGGAATCAACTCTTGAATATTTACCGCATGCTTAGCGAACACTGTATAGATTGTTATCATTTTAGAGGTTGGTAATACACAATTATGACAGCAAAAATGATTGTTTTCTTGATGTTATTCAAAAATACAAATTATTGAAAAGCAACAGCTATTCATGAAAACAACCCATAATATAAAGGACATATCTTCATGAGTTCACGTGATCTATACAGGGTGTCACGAAATAAGCCTGCCAATCTTCACCAGCGCCTTCTACGACCAAACATAGGAAGAAAAGTTTCAATCAACCTGAGTCCATGAATATCTCCTAAGAAAGCTATGCCTCCCTGAAACCAGATTTTCAAAATTTAGAACGAGTATTCAATATCATGCGTTATACTGAATAAATATAAAAGCACTGCAGGCGATTTTCTTATTATTATTCAAGGTCAAATGCATTTACATTGAAAATTTGATTTTCTCCTACCTAACTGTCTGTTTTTACCAATATCATGAGTCAAAAATTGAAATATTGATTTCAGTTAATACACAGGTGACGCTCTTGCTAGGCAAGGGTCTGCGGCGTTGTTTATGGGACCGAAACCTGTGTTCGGTATCCCCAAAACCTCAATACGCAGCTGGCTAGCAAGGTGGATGCAAGAAAGACATCAGGCATATTGGAACAATGTCCCAGGACAAAGACACAGTAAACTGTCCAGAACAGTGACTAACGACATTCTGAGCCTAAACAGAAGTCAGATCAGACAAGTGACGGGACTAATAACCGGTCACTGCCCCTTGAGGAAACATATGCATAAAATGGGCATTTATACAGACGAACCCATATGCAGACTATGCAATGAGGGGAGGAAACTGCCACCCATGTAATATTGGAGTGCGAAACACTATAGCGGGTTGAAGATAATACCTTCTGGGAGCATTAAACTCTCAAGAGGCTTTTCCAACGAATGATTCGGTGAAGAGGCTGCTAAACCTCATCAAGGTAGCGAACCTGTTCACCTGAGTCAACAGCATGATCAGGAATACAATAGGCCCAAAGGCTGCAGTGTGTTGGGCTTCGAACCCTGACTGATCATTCTGCCATTAATCAATCAATCAATCAAATAAACAGGTAGATTTGAAAATTCAAAAATTAGTGCTCTTGAAGTTATTGACGTATCTTTGTCATATTTAGCGGGAAGTGAAATATACTATACACCCTACTGAATTACTTAATTATGTAAAAAGAACGTTTCTGGCTACTACCAGAGGCGTACGACAGGGGCAACTGACCTGATCCTTCCCAAATTGTACGCCACTGGCAGAATCGCCATTTTATTCAAATTTTTCGATTCTTCAATACTTTCCACGTAAATGTCGTACTCCTTCTTCCTAGGGATAAATTAAATATTTTTCGAGATATTTTGAACATGATGCTGTACAAATATTTTGATCTTATAATATGTATTAATTATGTCGATGTTTTGGATCATTGGATTGTATTCATAACACAAATTAACAATCAAATTTTGAAATTTTTGAATATAATGAATAATGAAACAGGCATTTTATCTAGCTGATTTGAGTTAAGTCTTCATATTTTGAGCTCAGGATTTTATAGCTGAAATATTTCCAATTAGTAATGAAACACACAGTATAGATAGCGTTGACTCATGATGATATACCATGTATTCCAGTAGCAAAAGAGAACAAGGAACGAGGAAATGAAATATAGGTACTATTTATTGACAAAAAAGGGAAAAATGATGCTGCTAGGGTAGGTACAGTAGCGAGACTATTCGTTTTTACCGGCCATTAGAATACATACTTACCTTGAATATGTATCCTTGACACTTATTAATACCAGTATCAAGATTTGGAGCACTCATTTTGCTCAATGCTTTGTAGCAAGTGCCGCTAAATGTGAGGTCTCTGCAGTATCTATTCAGGGTATCTGGTGCAATGCCATCTACGCTGATACCAGGAACTAGATAAAATTCTCCATTGTCATCAAAAGTGAATGATTCTGATGCCATTCCAACTGCAAGAAAACATATGCGTAAAAGATAATATACAGTGTCATTCATAAACTTGGCATCATATGGGAAAAACTTTTGATAATAATTTATCTTGAAATATGACTTGTGTTGATTTTTTTTCAAAATAGATGAAAAATGGCTTACTCGGTCGAGGTCACGTGCATTTCGCTACATGTCAAAGATAACATTTTTTTAAATTAATCGCTGAAAATGGGCTCATTTCAAAATAGTTTATTAAGAAAAATTGTTTTTAATCCAATTTTACACATGCGTCTTAAATTTCAACCTGACCCCGACCGAGTAGTCTATTTTACATATGCAAAACTCAACTTCCAAGTCGAATTCCGAATTGAATTATTATTATAAGTTTTCCCTATATGACGCCGACTTTATAAATGATACTGTATACCTCTGTGATCATATTGTCACGCTTCTGATGAGGGTTGTGTCGAAAACCATTCAATTTACTCATATTTCTTTTTTTCCCGATAAAAAATAAGGATACTGTACAGTTTGTCCAGTTTTCGTTGCTTTAGCGTGATATCTCAGTTATCTTTGGAGATACAATCTTGCGGTTTTCACAGTCCTGTGCCACAGGACAATTTTGAAAATTTAAACTTCTTGAACCCCCTCTATATCTACGGAGTTTTTAAGTGAAAATGTCAGATTGAAATCTTATTCCATAGAGATTTTTACGCAGAATCCAGTAGCCCACTCAAACTTTTTTTCGGGGTATGGTTTTGCAGAGATACATCTCAAACTTATGATTTTCTGAATGGAACCCTGTCCAAGCTCATCAAAGCTCATCAAATTCCTTATTTTTTTTACTTCTTAATGATAAATAATGTATAAATATAAAATTTTCAGAAATGCCCAAAAATTACTGAAATATTGAATTTTGGCAATGGATTTTTCATAAAAGTTTAAATTGATGGAATATTTCTTTGGATTATTCCATGAAGAGGACAAAAACAATATCAACGCTAATTCACTAACAAAACACGAAACTTAGGTACCTGAATAGCTACAAATAAATAGTAATAAAAAGTTCATAATGTAAATTAAGCACCTCTGATTGAATATTCACCAAAACAATTGAATTTCGAAATCATTCAGTAACTTATTCATTGAATTGTTCAAATAGATGTCCATTTTTCCTCACACACTTTTTCAATACGTTTTGATGCTTTCAAAATCATTAAACGCACAAACAACACGTAAACGTTATTTTTCGCACATTAACGTCTACGTGGAGGTCTACGTACAGTGATTACTTCAACCAACTAATATCTTGCTTTAAAGCGCATTGAAAATCCTATTATACAGTGTGTCTCACTTTAGACGCTCTCCCAATATCTCAGCTATTATAGTCGTGCGATTCGTACCGAATTTTGTCCAGTATGAATAACCATCAATTTGATCAGTTTTTCAGGGACGAACATCCTTTTGAACAGTGCAGAACGTTTTTATTGGATTGAAACGGGGTCGATTTTTGTATGAAATCATATTATTAGATATTTTTTGCAGGAAAACTAACATCATATTATTGTTCCCATGCCTCATTTTTTTAAACCCTTCATAGAAATCATATGAAAATTTACATAGGGGGGTTTGAAACCATGGAGAACAATATTTGAGGTCAGTTTTCCAGTAAAAAAATTCTCTTTTCATTTTAATGAATACGCACGGCACTGTCCAAAATCGTGTTCGTCTCTGAAAACCTGATTATATTGATGGTTATTCACATCAGTCCAAAGTTGGTAAGAATCGCACGACTAATAGCTGGGGTATTGAGAGGGGGGACCGTCATTTTTCCGCCTATAAGTATAAATTATTTTTTGGGAAATAATAATTGATTGGACACATGAGAAATGCGGAAAAACGCTTGATGTCATCATCCGAGAACACCATATTTCGATTCGACTTACGTATCCATTCTCTATTTCTGAGACAAATGCAAGAATATATTTCGAATTGTCATTTCAATCAAAATATGAAATGAATTTTCTGGATTGAATACTTACTGCAGATAACAGAAAACACAACACACAACTAAAGAATCAGATAATATGAGGAGTATCTTTGAATATTCACATATTGACTATAGATGAAACAAGGATTTGACGATTAAAAAACTATAGGTTTATTTGCAACACCTATTTCACGAACGGCGCCTGGTGTCAGTGGTGGTTTTGGACATTATATTGTTTTCCACATAGGGATATCGCGGAATCGGAAATTATGAAAAGGTTATAAAAAAATAAACACGAGAGCTCCACCAATCAGAAAATTATTCTACTGATCCATTAAGTATCTGTTGCATTATTCCCGATTTTTTCGTACTCTCCTGGTGTGATCTCGGGTGTGATAGTGCTTCAGAAAATATACACCTGATAGGCGTTGGTGGAGGATAACAAATTTCGAGTGCATTCAAAAATTCAAGATGGCGTCTCCTAAATGAATTAGTGTATTGACTGAACCATTTGATGTGATAGGATTTATGGAAAGCTTGAATAAAATCGATGAGAAAGTTGAAATAAAATTATGATCACTTAAACACTAAAAACTATGTGTATATATATTTGTCTAGGACCACACTTTCATTGATAACAAATAATATAACACAGACTCTAGGTTTTATATATTTCAATCTAATTATACTTGTACCACCACTGCCACCAACTAATAATTCATGTCTAAATTTTTGGATAATACAAGAAAAATTGTATAGTAATTATGTAGAAGTTATGATCTCACCTAATAAATATTTAGAATCTTTGATAAAAGCTTTCCTTGGTCTCATCCTGGAGTTGAAAACTGTCCCATCTTTGAATAACTTGAACATATACAGTGATTCCAAGTTTTCAACCCATAATGAAGATAGGGCTCCAAGTTCAGAAAGAAATGGTCTTTCTTTATCTGGTTCTGGATATCCATAGCTCTCCCAGTTTCTTCTATCACAATATTTTGACTTGGATGCCAATTCCCATATGTTGATTTCTGGCGTTTTAGAGGGAGAGAAGTAACCTTCATCGTTAAATACCTCAAACTTTTCTCCTGGAAATTCTGTTTGAAGAGAGTCTTTTGAATCTTTTGCAAGTAATGCATTCGAGGTACTTGGTTTTTCATTCAAATCATAATGACCAAAATCATCAAACTCCTTCAGAACAGACTGTGGAAGTTGGAAAAGACTGTTGAAGTTTTCATACTCATCTAGAGATGGTAGAGATGACAGATCCTAAATAGGAAAAATAAAATCTGGTCATGTTTACTAATTTTTGATAATATCAAGTATTTCAGTTGAGTTTATAAAAATGCCACTGCTGTTATAGTTTCAGTTGCTTCTTCATAGACCGGCAGGTAGTGACAGTATGCCATTATTTGGAGGGTAAGTAATGTGTAGGTATATATTTTTTGATGATAAAAAATGATACATGAAAGAATCCTCCTGGTTTATTCATTCATTGAAATTAATTTACATTATTTGCTGGCAAATCAAGCGTTTTGATACAATTTCACTCAAGCTGCCTGTGTTCCAAAATGAAATGTAAGTGATAGGCTTAGTTGAAAATACAAAGGCCTACCGGTTGCGTGAACCCAAAAGGTGAGGTCAGGTGTGGTTGCATTTAAAAAAATAATTTTTACCGTTTGTGCAATACATAATATGCTAGGGAAAAAATGCCATACCGTTTGCGCATTTCCAAGTAAACCTAAATCTTGAAAACATGCTGCAAGGCATGAAGAACCGGAGAAAATTCTTTCATATGGAGAGGATTCTTTCACATCATTTTTTTAACATCAAAATGTATACATAATGATATCCTCCAAAACGCATACTGCAGGGTTGCCACCTTTGAGTTTCTGATTTTCAGAACAAAGTATTTGAAAATGCAGGACAATCAATTGAAATCAGGACAATAAATGAAATTTCAATGAAAATATTGAAAAGTTCAACTAATCATTAGAGTGCTAGTGTTTAACACTATAAAAAACGTTAGTTTATGCACTTCAAGAAATAAAAAGTACTTTCAATACCTCATTTGAGGGGCTAAAATGGCCCTTTTGAATCTCTCAGGGAATAAAAGTTAATATTGGCAATTTTTCTCAAACACAATACCAATGCTTTCAAGGCACATCACTTTTTGATGTCCAAGACAATATGATAACCACCTATCAGTCAGCAAAGTGAGAATTATGAAACTCTACAGCCTATAAGTAGGAGAGTACTGTTTTTCATTATTTTCCTAGTTAATTACATGAATGATACTCTAGTATAGGTAGAGAGGGGGTTAAACATGGCATATATGAGAATGGCATTGAGAGGTGGTAGATCAATGATGCTTTTCAAAAAACTGCTGCACTTCCAACAGATGTTTTCTCCCTATATGTCTACCATATTGTACTATCTAAGTAGTGGCTGGCTGGACTCTATCACCTGAGTACCTGAGTATCACCACTCACTTAACTTGAATGTAAGCTAATATTAAACCTAACCTAATAATATAAGGATCATAAGTGCTGCTTCTCATAGAAAAATAGTCCAGAAAAAGCAGTGGATTTCTGAAATAAAAAAGTACATAGCAATCTCTATTGAATAAAACTGGTGGAGTATTTCTGCACTCAGTAAATAGGTATATTTTCTTCTTACTTGCATGTGTTGAATGCCTACAGATAAATATTTAGTCATAGAGGAAAAACTTCATTGGATGATGTTTATGATGTCAGCTCCATAGGCCACAAAATTCAGGACATTTGGTGTCCTGCAAGTGATCTCCACAGTACATAGTACCTCAATTTCAGGACTTTCTGTGGAAAGCAGGACCTACATACTGGGTGAAATTAAGTTCAAAAAGCTGCCACTTCCTGCTGGTCTATCAATAATTGTTAAATTTTGAAATATCTGCTCATTGATCTATTTTTTTTCCAATTATTTTCTATCCTCAAAATATATTGAATTAAATATATTGTTAGGTCATCTCTGGTAAATCTCTATCCACTTCTTATCCTATTATTCATAATAAATTATCATGATTTTCAACCAAAACTGCAAGGGAAATCAACAAACCAGTAGGCAGATTCTCAAAAAAATTCTAGATTCACAAATTCAATTTTTAAGTACCAGTATAGTCTTATCTTTAGTGGGAATATTCCGGAAACTCAACAGAAATTTCAGAATATTGTTGAAATCATCCTTATTGTTTGATTGGTAACATTCCTGTACATCCTCTATACATGTTTGTAACTTTTCAGCATGGTCTCTCAAGTCATAATCATGAGTGAGCACAAATTGCCAAGATAAATAATTACAAAAAGGGTCTGTAGTACCTTCCAAATCCTTGAATTCTACAAATAACATCATAATAAATGGGAAAATATAATAATAAATAAAGTACTTATTGGATGGTTGGGTATTCTTTTTCCAAGTAAAATTTCATAACATTTAGATCTTGACTTATTTATTTCGGCAGGATTATTATGGAATGTTTCACAAAGAGAAGTAATTAATTTGAAAACACTATCAGTATTTTCATCTTCTGAATCCATAATTTTGACATTTTCAATTTCAAATCTGAGATCAAAACATTCAAAACATCAAACAAACATCTCATCAATCAAATCAAACTCTAATATAACCAAACATTTTCTTCTTCCTCGATTTGACAATCTGTCAGTTTAGGCATTAAATGTTCAAGGACAAGGCAGCTATATATTTCTGTGGATAAATAATGGATAAATGTTGGATCACTAGAATACTAGCATATCACTTTTTAATTACTTAAAGAATGGACTGAATGGAGATCTCACGATCAACGATCATAAAGTCCCGACTGAGGAAAACAAAACAAGATAAATGATATCGCACTTATCGCAGTCCCACTCACCCCTACCTATCCCTACGCAACAGATTTTTCAAACGGACAAGGAGGACAAGGGACAACAACATTGACAACAATGACAACTGACATCTGTCAGTTTTTGTTTCCTGTTTGGGGTTCGCCTGTTTTTCGTTCATCGTTTTGCTTTCGGTTTTCAGAATAATCAAAAATTATTTTACATTTTCAAGTGGTTATTCGTGATGGACTGTTCGTTGTTCTGATTTTTGAATTAAAACCTGTTGTTAGTGTCTCCCCGAGAATAGGCGAAACAAAAACGTCGAAAGAAAATCCGAGGAAAACCTGAGTCCTTGTTTGTCTATAGGATAGATTGTGCATTTTCTTTTCAGGTTGAGAGTTGTCTTTGCTAATTGAGAATGAGCGAGAGTGAGGGAGTATTAGAAAGCTCTTATGTTCCATATGATTCCCCGTTTCAATATGCGGAATACAACTTTGAACACACTGCTTTAGAGCTAGCAAGGTCTCAGTGGCCAAACTATGATGACCAACACTATCTCCGAGGGTGCAAGTGGTCTCCCGATGGTACTTGCCTACTTACAGTAGTACGAGGAGCAGGTATGCATGTTATGGAACTTCCTAGTGATTTGTATTCTGGTGACTGTGTGCAGACTAGTAGACCTATAGTGCCTTTGATGCCTGCTGTTAGTGTTCCTGAAGGGGGACTCATATATGATTATTGCTGGTACCCTGGAATGAATAGTGGAAACCCTGCTACTTGTTGGTGAGAAAATATTCATACCTACCTGATCATATTTGTTTTTAACTAGGATGCTCATTTTTTAGTTGGCTTTCAAGTGGACATGGGGGCCCAATTCATCTCTGGGATGCCTTTTCTGGAGACCTACGGTGCACCTACAGGGGTTACAATAACCAAGATGAAGTAGAAGCTGCTATGACTGTATGTTTTTCAGCAGATGGTCAAAATCTGTTTTGTGGTTACAAGAAGAATGTAAAAATTTTTAGTACTGGTAGACCAGGAAGGGAATATGTTGAATTTCCCTGTTCTCATCAAGTTTCATGTTTGGTTGCTAGTCAAGCACAACCTGGTGTTGTAGCTATAGGTAATAAACTGCTCTTTTTCCAAAATTCACCACCTCTGTTTATTTCACTTTAATCATTGTTTTAGGTACATATAAAAACACAATTGAACTAGTCTCTCAAAGTGATGGCTCCTTTAGACATCTCTGCAAACTCAATGGTCACAAGGGTGGCATAACTACTATGGCATTCTCATTAGATGGTTTTCGCCTCTACAGTGGTGCTAGAAAAGACAAAGATATAATCTGCTGGGATCTACGTGTAAGAGACCAAAAACCTCATCATTTAAATCACAAAGGAAAACACATAGTTCTTATCATTATACCAGTATTAATTCTGGCATTTTGTAGGTGCCTGGTAGACCAATGTTCTGTGTACCAAGAGAAGTAAATACTAATCAGAAAATAAATATTGATTTGTCTCTGGATGGAAAGTGGTTGGTCTCTGGTGGTACTGATGGTAAAGTACAGGTTTGGAATGTATCTGAACAAACTTACCCATCAGTACATATGCAGGTGAGCTTTTTGATTTTTCCTAGTAGAATTTTGGATTAACTGCTACATGTGACATGGGTATGTGAATGACATGTATGACTGAAAATATGATTCTATAATGTGCCAACCCCATTGGATACTATATTATTATTAACAAGACCATAACAAGTTTCCTGTCAACAAAATGGGTACTTGAAACAAACTGTGCTAGCTAGATGTCAACTGATTCTGAAACCTCAAAACTCCTCCTTTTTCTATAATAGGCTGTATGACACCTCTTAAATTTGATGACATATATGTTAACAAAAATGATGACAAAAATATTGTTTATGTGTCATAGAGTGAAAAAGGTGTTGATTTTGCACAGATTTGAAAACATTCTTGTAAAAATATAGGACTGGTTCTAAATATTTTGACATTATAAATATTTATACTGTATGGCACATAAAAAATATTTTTTGTTATCATATTTTTCATCAAATTCAACAGGTGTCATACAGTCTTGAATCAGAAACATATTTTGGTATTTTTCATAATGGTATAAATTGGAAGCAATATTATAGTGAATATTCCTTAATGAAGATTGGAAAAAATAAACAAATAGTCTTCTTGTCTATTGAGAAATGAAAATTTTTCCACATATCAATTGTCAACATCAATGACAGAATTTATTTTTTATTATAACTTATTTTATATCTCTTAGTTCCCTAAGGTTTACACTTGGGTTCACAGTATATGTAAATGTGAACAAGTTTGGGAGATAAAAAGTGAATCTGTGCAATAATGAGTCACAGATACAAAATCTTTCAGGTACATTGGCTGTCAGATACAAGTAGTTCACTCTTGGTAGGTGTATATCATATTCCAGTAATGTACATAATTGATGAAAATTATATGGAATGCTCAACCAAAGACATGTTGAAAACTTGAAATCAGAGGAAAATAACAAGTAATTGAACCTCCAATCTAACTTTGAAAGGAGTCCATGGTAACTCAAAGTGGAGTGGAGTAGTTAATACAGTGTGTTACAATTTGCTCCACCCCACCCCTGTACTTTTGTATTCCTAGGAAGATTTGAGATTTTTTTTCTCCTAATATGCTACTCAAAATCATGTACTTTGTGGAATAAAAAAAATATCAATCACAAATTTCTAGCCTACTGTGATCACGAAAACTCCAGCAAAATTAAAGGAAACTGATTATTAATTTTTTTTTCAAGAAGTTTGATAATGGCAATTGATTTGGACTAGCCACAAATAATCATATCGATTTTTAAAACAATATCTCATAAGGGATGTTTTTTATCAACAGTACAATTTTTGAATAATTGCATTTGTCAAGTAACTATGTATAATTCTTTCAAGAATTTTAATAATACCAGACATGTTGGTAGACAGGATTAGATCATCAGGCTACAGAGTGAGTAATTCAGGCCAAGAAATAAAGAAGAAGAAGAAGTTGTGACAAAAAATATTAAAAATAATAATAGTTTGCAGAGAAATATCACCAGAAGAACTGAGCAGATTTGAACATGAGAAAGAGATATGAAAAGTGTATAGAGAATGAAGGGGATTTGATGGCAAATATAAACATTTGAACTTGTTAGGAATGGTTGCTGTTTCAGTTCTTTTTCTAATTTTTTGATGTTATTTTTTTATCGGTATTATCCACTTTTTTATTTTATTTTATTCCTTATTCATCTCACTCTCTATAGGCAGATGATCTAATCCTGACTACCATCATGCCTGGTATCATATTAATTCTGCAATGAATCTTTTATCTCAGGGGTTTTAATTTGGAGTTTCGTCCTGGTGATTTGGTATGGAAAGACAGGCAATGGTTTGGAGGCTGTTTATTGCTCTAGTGGTGATATATTATAATGACAATGGTCAGGCACTACAAAGAAATGCAGATTATAGTAGACCGCATGAACAGGCATTAATCGAACACAAGTGAAATGATGCAATATCTTGACAAAGTCATTGTAACACGTGTGAGGTAATGAGACATTATAAAATATTACATTTAAATAAAATATATATCGTCACCTACCTACAAAGAAATGCAGGCACAGGTTTCAACATAACTTCAGTTATATTTTGAACCATAAGGCCCCCAGCAATTCACTTTGATGTGGCCTTATCTTGCCTTGCTTGTTCAGAAGTTTTCGCCGAAGAGAAACCCAGTTCAAATATTTATAAAAAAAGTAGTTTTTATCTCTAGTTCTTAGTTTTTGTATTTACCTCTTCCTACTCAATTTCCCGCGGTCAAGGCCAATAGACAACTAGATATCAGACAGCCTGAAAGGTATACGACCCTCAATTCACTGCGGGTATTAACGGGTTGCCTAAGCACCAGGTGAGAATAAGTCTAGAAACTCAGGCCTGCCAAACCAATACTAACAAGAATAAATAACGACAATTCAATAGGTTCTGTGACACAATTTCAAATTGGGGTGTTTTGCTACAATTCTTATAAGAATTATTGTACAGGGTGACTTGAAAAAAGGAATTATTCAAAAATTGTAACTGATAAAAAACACCAGTCATGAAATATTGTTTTGAAAATTGATAAAGGAGTATTTGTGACTAGTCCAAATCGATTGCCATTATTAAATTTTTTAAATGAATGCCTTCTTTGATTTTGCTGAAGTTTTTGTGATTGCAGTATGCCAAGAAATTGTGTTTCTTTCTGCTCCACAGAGTTGATAATTTTAAGTAGTATATTATGAGAGGAAAGAAATTGCAAATCACCCGAGGAATGCAAAAGTACAGGGATGGGGTGCACCAAATTATAACACACTGTAGATGAAGAAACTCTTAGTCATCTCCACAACGTTTATTTGAAAGATCGGGTCAGGTTGGGTTTGATTTTATGAGAGCTCACGTGCCCTCAAATTGCCAAAGGTAACAATCAAACATTGAAATATCAAAACCTGAAAGCTTGATGAGGTATCAGAGGTAACCAGCTAAATGATTAAATCAAATGACACTATTTTTTATGGACACTAAGTTTTCAATTTATTTCTTACAGCTTCATAAACCATTGTTTTTGCCCCATTTTACTGCTACATTATAAAATTTCAAAGTTTAACTTTTTCCATATTTATGTCAGTAAGTAATTATTGTATCTTTATCCAAAGTCATTCTTGGTTTTTCTAGAACTAATATCTTGTAATCGCCTGATGATGGGCTTATATAAGCCCGAAACATGTACATGTGATGGGTCCCACTGATCTTTCAAATAAACGTTGTGGAGATGACTGGGTTTCCTCAACTATGAAATGATTGAACTTTGAAGACTGCTGTTCCCATATAAATCGATATAGGAGCAATATTTTGTATCCAAAATTGACCCCTCTACTTGCTTCTGAAGTTTGTCTCTTGAATACCAGGATCTCAATAATTCCACAAGTCAATCTCTAACAGCTATAAACTATTGGAATTAAAAAAGACCAAGAATTTCCTTTTCAATCAAAATGAATTTGAGGAGAAATCATGCCGATGATTGTACATGCTACTGGACTTTACACCACATACCTATTTCATTTTGGTTTTTCTATGTATAAATAGTATTTGATCCAATCATTCGTCGTTACAATCATCACAAATACTTTGTTTTTTTTTCGAGCTTTTTTCAATATTTAATATCGGCGACTTGCAATCCTAGCTCTTGTTTGCTTAATCCACCTATAAGCACTAATACTTGCATATTTCTCAACAACCATTGAGAACAAGAGTTCACTTCCACCATATTGAAATACTATAAAATGAGAAGTAGAAATCCTTAACCTTAATTACCCAAAATTACCTATCATTCATAATCTCGAAAAATTTATCTGATGCAGATTCAAGAATAATTTTGATCAAATTGGTTCTCATTTTGTGAAACGTTCACCTGGTGATCTTCCCAATCATATTCCCTGGATCCAACCACAGTATTCTTGAGAGCAGTCAAGTTGAATGAATTACATAACCCAAGACATGCAAGTTTTTCCTCTTCAAAAGAGTTAAGAAGGATTTATAAAAATAAGGAGGCAGAAGGTATAGTTTATGTCAAAATGCCATGTCATGTCATCACGCCCGACTGCGTTTTCCCTCGTTTTTCTTCTATCAAGAAATCGCATCCCACTAAGTTTAGTTGGATGTTATTGAAATACCCTCTTGGTGACAACTATTTTTTGGCAAAAAATTTGCAAGACACCGAACTATCAGATTCTTTCATGGCCAACAAAATCAGAAAATATGATGGATAAATTAGAAACAACTAATCAGAATTTTTTGTGAGACCCCTGAATCCATGACGCTGGGTACTTCAGTTGTACGGAAATCATACCAATACCAGCAAATAACCAAAGTGACATACTTATATAAGAAAATCAAAATCATAGGTCCACTCTGTAGAAACAAAGAAACTGTTTTTCGACACACTACATTTCAGTAGTAATTTTCATTTATGATTTCGATTGGATAGGAAATGTTTAATTGTCTTTCTGAATCTAGAATCATTACTAATCCGTGTTCTAGATCAAAAACCACAAGACACATCCTGATATCTGTGAAATTAAATTACCCCAGAAGAATGAAATGTGTTTGAGTAATTGAGAATGTTGTATGTTATGAGTTCTTATATTTTTTTGGTAATAAGTGAGCAATATTTACAGGACGCCCTAAAAGTGTGTCACCGTTTCGAGGATTTAAAGCCAGGATAACTTTTTTCACATTCACTGCTAACAAAATCACATATTTTTTTCACCTAAATTCTATTTAGATTGAGTAATAAACTCGGTAGTCGAGACCGCAGAGGCACAGTGACATTATTCCTCAATGCTCAACTATTGGTAAATGTACCCGGCCGCATAGCTTTCCCGGCTGCTAACGCGTCGGTCACTTTCCAGATGGGTCTGCACAGCGATTGTTGCAATGGGGTGAGTCTGCACCCATCTAGGCCCATCCTGGCCACCGCTTCGGGGCAGCACCACTCGATGGATCCGCTGCACCACACGAGGAATTCCATGCAGTACGAAAACGCTTTGAGCATGTGGTGGGTAGGGCCTCAACAGGAGGACCCCGATCTCTTGTCGGCCATTATCAAAGCTGCCACTCATTCGTGATAGGAGAAGTCATGGTTTACTGTTGAGTTGATTTTCGATTTTGTATTCTGATTTTCCAATTGTATTTTCGACATGATTACTAGTAAAGTTTTCTTTTTTAATAATTACTGTTTTACTAGTTTAATAAAAGGGCGATAATTACTATGTGAAATCTAACGTATGTCGTATTGGATTTTTATAACTAGAAAACCAATCTGTTATTTCACAGTCATCCAAATCAGTCCAGTCGATTAGGGCTCTAGAATGAAACTACTAATATATTATCTACTCACTCACAACCATCTCAAATGAAAAGCCGTGATGTTCGAGAATTGACAACACTGCCCGAAAGTCCCGCGCCGGTTAGTCAGTCAATTAGGTGAATTGGTTCAGTTTCCAAAAGTAAATTGATGTGAAATGTTGTGGAAAGCCAGTGAACTATGTAAGGAATGATCTAGTGATCGAGTTATAAGTGAAAGTGTGTGTGAAGTTCTCCAAGTTGATGAGTCAAATTACGCTTTGGAACAGAAATATGATTCAATTCTTACATTTTCTAAAGATGAAGAATTGCAACACCTCGTGAAAACTTGACTTTATCTCAGCATTCTGCAGTGTGTGCTGTTTATTTTGTTGAAACACATTAGATATGAGATACTATATCTTCCAGATGGATCGATTCAAAACATTTAACCCCCAATAAGTGAAAACTGCAGTTCCTAAATTTTTACAAATTTACCAAGATATTAAACCTTGCTAAAACCTGTTATCCAGACGCATTGAAAATAACTTTTCAAATTTTAATATGGAAAGAGATGCAGGTCCCAGTCTGCACAGCGATTGTTGCAATGGGGTTAGTGCACCCGCTTCGGGGCAGCGATTTTCCTAAATATACTGCACGCTAGCACAAACCACGCCCACCATAATACGTCATATTTCCAAACATTACCGATATACTCGGAGTCAGCATATCGTACTAAATATACTGTGCTCCAACGCAAGAATACACTTTTTATGATTTTGACACGAATTCGACTGAAGCTCTCTCGTTGTCAATCTCTTGTACGCAGTAAATTCATATACCCAAATGGTCTACTGGTTAGCGCTGTCGACTTTCAGTCTGAAGGTCCATGGTTCGAATCGCTGTGAACTTGAATTTTTTTTTGCAACTTCTTTTTTCACCAATGTTTTTTTACTTCATTCTGGTTTTCCTTTCTCATAAAATATTTGAAGTCAAATAGGTTAGTGCGTTTAGGATAAACAGTCTCATTTTATTCAATTTTGTTGAAGAACTCAACTTTTGAAATATATTATTAATCAATGTGTTTCTACACTCCAATCGATTTTCCTTCCTCAAAAATATTGCAATCAGGGATAGGTTAGTTCGTTAAGGATAAATAGTCTCTGAGTTTTGCCTAAGTACTTCGAAGATGAGATATTACGGTGGGCGTGTTTTGTGCTAGCGTACAGTATATTTAGTAAAATCGCTTCGGGGCAGCACCATTCTATGGATCCGCTGCACCACACGAGGAATTCCATGCAGTACGAAAACGCTTTGAGCATGTGGTGGGTAGGGCCGCAACAGGAGGACCCCGATCTCTTGTCGGCCATTATCAAAGCTGCCACTCATTCGTGATAGGAGAAGTCGTGGTTTACTGTTGAGTTGATTTTCGATTTTGTATTCTGATTTTCCTATTGTATTTTCGACATGATTACTAGTAAAGTTTTCTTTTTTAATTAATACTGTTTTACTTGAGTGCACCACACATCACACAACGAAAATCTTATATTTCTAGTTTAATATAAGGGCGATAGTTACTATGTGAAGTCTAGGGTCTGCCGTATTAGAATTTTTATAACTGTTATTTCACAGTCATCGAAATCAGTCCAGTCGATTAGGCTCTAGAGTGAAGCTACTAATATATCATCTACTCACTCACAACCATCTCAGATGAAAAGCCGTGATGTTCGAGAATTGACAACACTGCCCGAAAGTCCCGCGCCGGTTAGTCAGTCAATTAGGTGAATTTGAACAGGAGGACCCCGATCTCTTGTCGGCCATTATCAAAGCTGTGGTTTACGGTTGAGTTGATTTTAGATTTTGTATTATGATTTTCCTATTGTATTTTCGACATGATTACTAGTAAAGTTTTCTTTTTTAATTAGTTCTGTTTTACTTGAGCGCACCACACAACACACAGCGAAAATCTTATATATCGAAAAATTTAACTCGTGTCATGACCAATCTGTCCAGTCGATTAGGCTCCGGAATGAAACTACTAATATATTATCTACTCACTCACAACCATCTCAAATGAAAAGCCGTGATGTTCGAGAATTGACAACAATGCAACAATGTCCGAAAGTCCCGCGCCGGTCAGTCAGTCAATTAGGTAAATTTGTTTAGTTTTCAAAAGTAAATTGATGTGAAATATTGTGGAAAGCCAGTGAACTGTATAAGGAATGATCTAGTGTTCAAGTTATAAGGGAAAGTATGTGTGAAGTCCTCCAAGTTGATAAGTCAAAATACGCTTTGGCACAAAAATATGTTCCAATTTTTACATTTGCTTAAGATGAGGAATTGCAACACCACGTGAAAACTTGACTTTATCTCAGCATTCTGCAGTGTGTGAGGTTTATTTCGGTGAAACAGATATTAAATATGAGATCATTTTTCTTCCAGATGGATCGATTCAAAACTTTTAACTCCCAATAAGTTGAAACTGTTGTTCCTGAATTTTTCCAAATTCACCAAGATATTAAACCTTGCTAAAACCTGTTATCCAGACGCATTGAAAATAACTTTCCAAATTGTAATATTGAAAGAGATGCAGGTCCAAGTCTGCACAGCGATTGTTGCAATGGGGTTAGTGCACCCGCTTCGGGGCAGCACCACTCGATGGATCCGCTGCACCACACGAGGAATTCCATGCAGTACGAAAACGCTTTGAGCATGCGGTGGGTAGGGCTTCAACAGGAGGACCCGATCTCTTGTCGGCCATTATCAAAGCTGCCACTCATTCGTGATAGGAGAAGTCGTGGTTTACTGTTGAGTTGATTTTCGATTTTGTATTCTGATTTTCCTATTGTATTTTCGACATGATTACTAGTAAAGTTTTCTTTTTTAATAAGTACTGTTTTACTTGAGTGCACCACACATCACACAACGAAAATCTTATATTTCTAGTTTAATATAAGGGCGATAGTTACTATGTGAAGTCTAGCGTCTGTCGTATTAGAATTTTTATAACTAGAAAATTAACTCGTGACATGACCAATCTGTTATTTCACAGTCATCGAAATCAGTCCAGTCGATTAGGCTCTAGAGTGAAGCTACTAATATATCATCTACTCACTCACAATCATCTCAGATGAAAAACCGTGATGTTCGAGAATTGACAACACTGCCCGAAAGTCCCGCGCCGGTTACTCAGTCAATTAGGTGAATTTGTTTAGTTTTCAAAAGTAAATTGATGTGAAATATTGTGGAAAGCCAGTGAACTGTATAAGGAATGATCTAGTGATCGAGTTATAAGGGAAAGTATGTGTGAAGTCCTCCAAGTTGATAAGTCAAAATACGCTTTGGCACAAAAATATGTTCCAATTTTTACATTTGCTCAAGATGAGGAATTGCAACACCACGTGAAAACTTGACTTTATCTCAGCATTCTGCAGTGTGTGCTGTTTATTTCGTTGAAACAGATATTAGATATGAGATCATTTAACTTCCAGATGGATCGATTCAAAACTTTTAACTCCCAATAAGTTGAAACTGCAGTTCCTGAATTTTTCCAAATTTACCAGTTATTAAACCTTGCTAAAACCTGTTATCCAGACGCATTGAAAATAACTTTCCAAATTGTAATATGGAAAGAGATGCAGGTCCAAGTCTGCAGAGTGATTGTTGCAATGGGGTTAGTGCACCCGCTTCGGGGAAGCACCACTCTATGGATCCGCTGCACCACACGAAGAATTCCATGCAGTACGAAAACGCTTTGAGCATGCGGTGGGTAGAGCCTCAACAGGAGGACCCCGATCTCTTGTCGGCCATTATCAAAGCTATAGTATTTTCGACATGATTACTAGTAAAGTTTTCTTTTTCAATTACTACCTACTGTTTTACTTGAGCGTACCACACATCACACAGCGAAAATATTATGTTACTAGTCTAATATAAGGGGGGTAGTTACTATGTGAAGCCTAGCGTCTGTCGTATTGGATTTTTATAACTAGAAATTCAACTCGTGACAGAACCAATCTGTTATTTCACAGTCATCCAAATCAGTCCAGCCAATTACGCTCTAGAGTGGAGCTACTAATAAATGTATCTACTCACAACTATCTGAAATACAAAGCCGTGGTGAATCAGTACGCCAGAGAACTGTGTAAGAATAATAAAGTGATCGTTATGGTTATGGTTCGTATTTTCGTATTCTTGGAAGTCAAGTAAGTAATTTCAACCTTCCTCATAAGAAAATGACCAATCATTGTTGTATGTAGTTCAATAAATTACTCTACGGAAGAGAAATATGTTTCAGTTTTTTCATTTACTAAGGATGAAGAATCGCAATAACACGTAAAAATTGTATTTCATATCAACATTCTGGAGTGTGTGCTCTTCGTTTCGTTGAAAGAGATATTATGAGATATGATACATGATGGAACCGATCGGATAAAAAAAAATACCCTGAGCTAGATGAAACTGCAGTTCAATTAAATTCTGCAAAAGTAAATTTCTTCTCTAGTGTGTTTAATGCCCTCCGTTAGGCTTCAGGCATCAAACCCCATGCGCAGGAGAAAATGACCTTGATACCCACGCTCGGGGTTAGCAGCTATACATAGGAGTGAGGGCAGCAGCATGGCTCGTTTTCTCCCTCCCATCAAATAAAGATATCGCACGAGTTATGTCTTATGCAGGGTGTAAACGTGAAAGCATGTTATATAATAGTATATTACATAACAAGAGTTGTAAAACGCATATTACGCACGAAGTGGAGAGAGTAACTCCACAAGTGCGTAATTGCTTTACAACTCGAGAATTGTACTATACTTTTTCTACGACTTCACTATATTTTCTTCCGGATAGTGCAGATATTGTACTAAGGCACGAATAACGAATACCAATATA